AGACTTGGCAAAACCATGACACTAATTAAACTTGACTGGTAATTACCATGAAAGCTGAACAGTTGTTTGAGCATGTGAATCTCATGTCTTTCAGAGTCATCCCATTTCATGCAGACTGCCCAATTTCTCATGTGATGCTTAAGCAAAATATACAAGCAAGTAAGTAATTATATTTGCATTTGTCAACTAATAACAGATAAATTGTGTCCTACAGTATATCGATTTATAGACTTATAAGTCTATACAATTTGCTGCTAATAGTCACAGAATGCTTAAAAGCATGTGTTTCCTCAGCTACCAATTTAATTGCCCTTTAGAAAGGTAACATTAAATATTGCTTTATGTGTGAAAATGTTTTTTTTTTTTCTTAAAATCAGAACCAGTGTTAATGTATATTGAGGGAGTAGTGACAATCTTTTATTTGTTCATCTTTCTGCAAGGGGTTGTTGACTGACTTCCTCGAATGTACTTTGACAGACTGTTGGTATGTCAATGGCTTTGTGTGTATGTGTTTTTTTGGGGGGCTTCTGTGTTAAAATCAAAGTGTGAAGGATGTTCTTTCTTTCTCCTCCTTAGCTTATATGCAAATGCATCTGAAATGTGTCCAGTGTTGATTGACTGAAGTATTGACATAACACGCCTGGTGTGAATTCAGGTCAAGGTTAATAAGTCGGTATTGTTCACTGCCATGCAGTCTCTCCTATCTTTTCTTTTCATTCCTGCATTTGCAAACCTCAAAAGTGAAATGTGCAAACCAAAGCACTAAATTTCCATATAGAAATCCTGTATTTGTCATATGTACATAGACCAGGTCATATATTACAGAGAACAGGTCAGCCATGATACAGTACGTCTGGACAGAGAGTGTTAAGGACCTTGCCCAAGGACCAATCCATGGCTGTTGAGTCACTGAATTCCCAATGAGATTGGAGTAAGTGAGTCTTTCAGTCATGAACGTGATTCACTCCTCCCTTGTTCAGTATATCCATGAATCTTTCAGTCATACGTAACTGGGAGTTGTGGATAAGTGGATCAGTGTTAGAATTATAAAATTTGTTGGTTATGACTGAGATTTATTTCTCTCTTGTTCAGTGAATCAGCTGAATCAGTTCAGTTGGGCTCATTGAGCCAGAGTTGGAGATTTCCAGCTTTTCATTGCATGCAATAGTAGTCCGTGTTGGGCTTACTCACTCACTTACTCACTCACTCTCCAGTAACGTCTCCAGGTTACGTATGTAACCTGGAGACGTTGCCCTTCAGGAACTCGAGCTGCGTCGAAACGCTATGGGAACGAGTATGCCCACGCCACCAGACTTACAAATCCCTGCCCAGTGTGGAAGAGCACAGCTAGGGCAAAAGAACAAAAGAGCCCGGAGTGGCTCGCATGTCGAGGCCATAGAACCCGATGAAAGACAGGGGAACGGACCAACCCGCAGCGTTGCAAATGTCCTGCATAGGGACACCTGCCAGAAAGGTCTTGGAGGCTGCCACACTTCTAGTGGAGTGAGCCTTGACTCCCAAGGGCGAGAGGAGATCAGAAGACTCATAGGCCAGACAGATGGCATCCACGACCCACCGGGCAGCTCTGAGGACGTATGCATCCAGTGCTCACACTGGACACATAGAGTTAAGCCTCTGCTGGTCGGGCTCCCGAAAGGGAGGAGGACAGAAGGCCTGGAGTATGACAGGCCGTGGTGTAGAGGAGGGAACTTTTAGGAATATACCCCGCTCAAGGGTAGAGAAATGCTTTGGCCAGACCGGGCGCAAAGTCTAAAAAGAGAGGGCCACTGAGAGGACCTGTAGATCCCCAACTCTCTCAAGAGAAGGAGGTTTACAGAAAGCCTCCAGCACCACAGCCAGGTCCCACGGAGGGACATGAGATCGAACCGGAGGCCTCAGCCTCAGTGCACCGCGGAGGAAACATGTAACTAGGGGGTGTCTGCCCATAGACTGACCACCGTGAGGGGCGTGATAGGCCACAAAGGCCGCCATGTAGACCTTCAAGGTGGAGAGGGTCAACCCTGCAGAGAATCGGACCTGCAGGAACTCCAGCACTGTACCAACTGGGCAGTTAACTGGGTCGAGCTAGCAGTCTCCGCACCAAGAAGTGAAAAATTTCCACTCAGGGTGTACAGTTTCCTCGTTGAGGGAGCTCTGGATTGAAGAATGGTCTCAACAACCTCGGTTAAGAGACTGGAAGCTACGAGTTGTGCCCCCCCAGAGGTCACACCCACAGCCTCCATAACTCCGGGTGGGGGTGGAAGCCCGCCTGTGAGATGAGGTCCCTCCAGACGGGGATCTCCCATGGATTGAGAGACTGGAAGCTGCGAGTTGTGCCCCCCAGAGGTCACACCCACAGCCTCCACAACTCCGGGTGGGGGTGGAAGCCCGTCTGTGAGAGGAGGCCCCTCCAGACGGGGATCTCCAATGGAGGGCCGTCGAGGAGGGAAATCGGGTCTGAGAACCATACTCGGCCCGGCCAGAATGGGGCTACTAACAAAAGAAGGACCCCGCCCTGGCGCACTCTCTCCAGAGCTCCCAGGAGCAGAGCAATCGGGGGGAAGGCATACAGATGAAGCCTCTGCCAGGTCTGTACATGGTATCCAGTCCGAGAGGAGCTGGATGAGTCAGAGAGAACCAGAGGGGACAGAGCGATATCTCCTGAACAGATCCACCTGAGCCCGGCCAAACACTCTCCATATCTGCTTCACCATCTCAGGGTGAAGCCTCCGTTCCCCGGGCCTCAGCCCCTGCCTCGACAGGATGTCTGCTCCCATAATGAGATGCCCAGGGATGTAAATTGCTCCCAACAGGAGGAGTTTCCCCTGGGACCACACAAGGATCTGGTGTGCCAGCCTGTAAAGGGGAGCGCTAATGCAGACCTCCCCAGTGGTTGACGTAAGAGACCACCTCTGTGTTGTCGGTGCGCACCAACACATGGCGAACTCTTAGGTCCGGGAGAAAGTGTTTCAAAGTTAGAAACATGGCCATCATCCCCAGGCAGTTAATGTGCCACGAGAGATGGCAGCTGACCACGGGCTGAGCGGCCACTCATGACCACTCCCCAATTGGTGAGAGATGCGTCCGTCGCTAGCATTACGCGGCGACAAGGAGCTCCAGCACCGGGCCCTGAGAACCAAGGTTTCCTCCACATGTCTAAGGCACGTAGGCATCGCTGCGTGACCTTGATCATGCGAAGCGGGTTTCCCCTCGGGGAGAACCCCTTGGTCTTGAGCCACCACTGTAGGGATCTCATGTACAGCAGGCCAAAAAGTATCACATTGGATGCAGCTGCCATCAAACCCAGCAGTTTCTGGAACTGCTTTACACTGAGTGACCGGCCTTCTCTCACTCTCGTGACTGCTGTGAGGATTGACCAATCCGAGCAGGAGACAGATGTGCCTGCATCGTGGTCGAATCCCACACCACGGTTCTCTGTACTGGAGAAAGCATACTTTTCTTGGCGTTTAGTCTTAACCCCAGCTCTTCATGTGCATCCCAAGCAGACAATGCACAAAAAGCCTAAAAGCTGCCCGCTCTCGCCCTCATGTTTTGTCTTTTTGGCATAATGCATTGAGAGACAAACAATACAAAATCAGACTGACACACACAGAGCACTTGCTGAATGACAGAAAGCTGCTGCTGTATCCACCGCGCGTGCTTTTAAACTTCCTGGTCGCTACGTCACCCTGCCAGTGATGTCTCGCCCATCCATTGGACTGATTACACGTGTGATTCAGAGAGTGGTCACACTGAAGGCGTTCCTATAGTGTTTCGATAGCGTTTCGACGCAGCTCGAGTTCCTGAAGGGGAACCGCCTTATTCTGCTTAGGGTCACAGTGGAACTTGATTATGCAGTTACTTCTGCTAAAACTACTTCTAAAATGTAATGAACCTTCTCAGTGCATGTATTCTTTTCAGGTCTATCCAGAAATGTAAAACGCAGAAATTCCTTAACAATAGCACACAAGACATAAAAGATGACTTCTAAAAAGCACACATTGGAGAATGGTGCTGGGTTGCTGTTCACACAATAGCACCGGTTCAGACGTCTGGCTTGACATAAAAGACCAGACATTGCTAAAACACAATTATATAAAGCTGGATGGCAAAAGAGAGAGAGAGAGAGAGAGAGACAGAGAGAGAGAGGGTGGGAGGTGGGAGGTGGGTTGGGGGTATTCAATAGACCAGACATTCATGGGTCTCTCACAAGGTTGCAAGGTTTTGTGTCAACAAAAAGGTAAATTTTAGAAATTGCCTTTCATTCACAAAAAAGCCAACATGGCAGCAGAGTGTGCTTTGAAAATCCTACACCAGGGGTACATTCCAAAAGAAACACACAGTCGTGAATAGAAAGCAGAGACATGAGACAACCAAAATGTTTGCAATATCAAAACTGACTGTGTTTGGCAAGAAGAATGGGCAGAATTTTCAGGATCCAGATGTACAAAGCTGATAGACATATCCCAGAAGACTTTCAGCTGTAACTGCAGCCAAAGGTTCTTCTACCAAGTACAGAATTGGGAGGTAGGGATTGTCAAGAATTTACTTGTTGATTTCATTCATACACTCTGCCAGTGATGATGAAAGACAACATGAACATTATTTTCACACACTCTCAGTTGAGACCAAGACTATATTTGGCAAGACCAATGCCCATGACTGAGATAACTCCAAGTACAAATGTCAATAATTCTGAGACAAGTCCAAGTCAATGCAGAATCATCTCGAGATCAAACGCCTGATTCGTACAAGCATTGTAAAAGTGTAAAATGTGTAAATATAAAGAACCACATTAATGTATAATATGTTGTTTTTTATGTTATTCTTACAGTATACACATGTTTTGTGTGTTTTTATTGTATATTGATTTGTTGAAATTGAAAATGTTTAGAACATTTACAGCATTTGGCAGACACCCTTATCCAGAGTGACTTACATTTATCTTATTTATACAACTGAGCAGTTAAGGGCCTTGCTCGAGGGCTCACCAGTGGCAGCTTGGCAGTGCTGGGGATTGAACTCATGACCTTCCGATCAGTAGCCCAACGGCCTAACCACTGAGCTACCAAGAAGAAGCCCTGTAATAATAGATATAATGTGGTGTTGTTGTTCTTCTTCTTTCAGCTGCTGTTCTTTTAGTTTTATATATATATATATATATATACATACTTGATTTTAGATACCTTTCAGTTTAGTGCATATTCTAATCTTAAAATAACCTCAGACTGACCCAAGACATGGTTTATCTATTCTGACACAAAGGCCGTGAAGTATTCACCTGTCCTCTCTTCAGAACCAGTTGCCCTTTTGACCTCGTGTGCTCGTCAGCCGTGCTCGTCAGACATGCTCTCTCATCTGCTTCATTTCTCTACTCTGAATGAAAGCACTTAGACATTTCATAATGCTGTAAGTACTGTTTTTATTCACAATGGCCTAACAATGAAAGGTCATGGCCTTTTGATCTAGGGGTAGTTTAAAACCAAAAGCACATCACAGGCTCGGAGCTCCGAGGCACACCAACCACAGTGCTGTGAGAGGAATATGAATGAGAAAACTGACGGGTTCTTTCTGCTTGAGCACATGAGGTGCAACATATGAAGGTAACAAGAGAAATCTAGACCTGAATCAAATAATTCAATAATATTATTCAGTTAGAATTAATATTACAGTCCATTTAAATATGTATTTTTATATACCCACTACAAAATGCTGCACAAGCACAAGGTAATAAAAAATGTAATTAAAAACAGTAGTAGCAATAGAATTTTCATTTTATTTTTGCTTTATTAAATAAAATAATCACAGGTAGAAGATAGAAGAAGAAAAAATAGAGGAAGGAGAAGCAAATAAAGGAGGAACGTAAGAATAAGAAATAGGAAGATGCTAAAAAATCCTGGGAAAGATAACAAGGAAAACTGATGCAGAGCAATAGAGAAAGATGGAGGAGGAAAAAAGAGGGGATGAAGGGAAAGAACAGAAAGACAAAGCGGAAAAGGAGAATAAGAAGGGAAAGGAGAAACAGAAATAGGAGTCACAAAATAAATGCAGTTAAAGGGAGCAGACTGCATGGTGACTTACCTGCTTCTTCTCTGTAATGAGGATGATTAATCTGAGGGGAGTGGCTCTTGGATCTGACATTTCTACCACCAGCTAATCTGCATTCATTAGGAGAGAATGCAGTGCTCTAATTACATCCCGGCCTCCTGTCTAACAGCAGAACAGGGGAAAGGGAATAAAAAGTGTCTGTAAGAGGGCAGATGTTGATGACTCAGGTCTGCTGATGAACATTATGCACATTAGCAACAGTAAGAGTTTAATACAGACCTCCAGGAAACACCAACCAACTGAAAAGAAGCTAACTCATTAAAGTGAAAGTAAATCAAGGTGTCAGTGAAAGAAGTTTAATTTTACTGTGTAGATTGTTGACCTAAAATATTATTATATTGTTATATTTAAACTGGAAAATGGGATAAACAGGAAATAAGGTTTATGTGCGAGGTACATATATGGCCAACATGACATTCACACCATACACAGTAAAATGGATAAAATACTACGTTTTCCTAGTTTCCGTTTGAGCCTTGTACACCTCAGACAGAAGAAAATGTTGGGATGTAAGATGTTGATGTTTGCTGTCACAGTGAATGGCTTTTAAATAGCATGAAAATCCTTGAAGTGAACATGTACATGGTGAATACATAATGCAAAATATTCAGACTGAAAGCTAAAGCATGACATCACCGAGCCTTTTATAAATGATTCAGCATGAAGAATGTTCTCATTTCCTACCTCCTTACTTCATGCGCATGGTTTTCTTTTCACGCTCTGTTCCATCCGAACTTCATTATAGCCTGTTTTGATTTACATTTAATTCATTTTTAGTGTCAATTGAAAAGCAGGCCTCTTTACTTACACAGCTGATAGATGAAAGAAGAAAGAAGAAGATAGATGAAAGAAGTTTTTTTTTTTCATTTCCTCATCCACTACTTGTATACAGAAATATGTATACTTACTGATTTGATTTGACTAAAAATGAAGACAAAACACAATCCATGGTTGAGTTACACGCCAGAAATAGCAGCATGTTTGTAGCATATAGGTGTTTGTGTTTTTGCCTTAGCTTTTCAGATTTGTTTAGAGTTAAAGGAGCGTGGACAAATTGCATTTGCCCAATAAACGCTACAAGGGTTACACCTTCTTTTTTAAAAGCATGAAATATGAAAAGCATTTTAAAATAAGTCAGAAGCAATGGAGAAATGCTAAAACAAAACACCAAAAAACCAACAGCTATATTTAGAATTTTATTTAGATTTTAATTAAAGCTATATTTAAGGTTATTTCTTCATATTTGTTTTGTGTTGAGTAAACATTGTTAAACGTTCGAGGACTTGACCAAAAGCCATTTTCCAGGGAAAAAAAAAAAAATACTTAAAAAAATAAATAAATAAAAACACAGAAATCCAAAATTTAAAGAGAATTTACAAACACAATACAAACAAAATTAAAAGGTATAAAAAGTGGTTGGCTTTTTATTATTATTATTATTATTATTATTATTATTATTATTATTATTAATTTTGATTTCTTTCTAATGATTCACAGTTGTAACAATTCGAGTTTGCATCTTTACAGTTTAGATCCTGTAATTTTGTATTTCAATATTTCAATAAGCTTTCTTGTAGCTGAATACATTTTTTGCATTCATGGATAATTCGACTCTGTTTTCGTTTTACTAATACAATAAAATCCAGCTAACCTGACTATCGGTTGCGATGAGCAAAATGTCATAGATTTCAATCCAAGTTATCCTCACTGTACAGTGTAATGTGACTGTATTCCAGTTAAGAACCTTTGAGTACCTAATATCATTAAATAGACCTATAAATGTATTATTATATAACTGCACACATATAAAAGACTTTAACAGCCATTTCATCTAGCTTTCACATTGATTCCACTCTACAGCACAGAAACACACACTCAAGGTGCTTCACACTCCTGGTTGCTCATGGATGACTAAGACCAATGGAGCACGTGGCCAGCCTCATGTCCCTGTGCTCGTCCTCATGCTGCGTTGGTGATTATCCTGCCCTACAGTCATTAAACCCCAGCAGGTGAAGTCCTGGCCTGTCGGGACCAATGTGCCTTGATAAATTTGCCCTATTACGTTGACAGATTAGTCCATAGCTGGAGCCCAAGTGGTGGCTGGTCACACAGGTCAGCATGTTCATCATTACGCTGCTCAAATGTCACTCTCTTTTCCTGCTGGCTGAGATGAGACTTTCAGCATTGCTGATCGCATCAACAGGAGTGCTGAGCGTGAAAAGTTCAGCATATTCAATATCCACGGATGCAGGAAATATTTCCTCTTTATTGTTCCAATAGGCCAAAATGATTTTTCCAGTGAGCCTAAAAACGGGTCTGTGTGAAAAACGCAACACAGCGTGTGTCTATCAGTGTGGATTTATTGTGGTGTCATGTTTACCACAAGACTACCAGTTCTGGGGAACATTTTATTAGTGCTAACGCACCTGAATTTATATTTCATCAGCTAAATGATCAATTGGCTCATGTCCAAGGAAGTATAGCGCTGAGCATGGTAAGAACTACTGTACAAGAAACAAACCGTGGGGGCATGCTGTTACAGAAAAATAATTAACTACAGGGGTTGTGATGAAGCGGAGTTACTGTCACCACCCTAATCAGCACACCTTGTAATGTTTTATTCCTCTTATACCACAACAATACCAATATTTAATTTATTAATGAACAACACATCATATGTTTTATCTGTTTATAGCTACATTTACAAATCATATTAGTTCCTGATGTCACTTATATTATAGCAGCTATAAACAGTCGTTCCCTCACCAGCCTCTCATTTTCTCTCTCTTGAAGGCTTTCCCATGTTGGAAAGTTAAAGCTTTACCTCTGACTTTTATAAAGCACTGACACTGGAGCCTCCTTCCAAAAATGTTAAATAAACAGTCCTACAGAAATCATCACTGTATATAATTATTATGCATAATATCATAGTAATTGTACAGTTTTCTTTGTTAAATAATAACATTTTTATCCAATTATTATTAGTCTTGGATTACGTAGATGGTCCAGCATGAGTACGAGTCTCTGTACGAGTTTCTATAGTAATTAATATAAACCTGTGATTTGCAGTAGCACTAGTGTCCAAGCTCTTGATAGAAAATTAATCAGCACCTTTCTGACCAATCAGATCCGAGAATTCAACAACACTGTGAAACTGCATTCATAGACCAGTAGAGTCTAATATGTTTTGTCTTTTATGTGCTAGCCTTTGCAGGGAGGTTTCTAGGTATAAGCAGTGTAAGCAGTGACTTCGAGCCACCGAGCCAAATTTACTTCCTGGTTTCCCTACAGTCCCAATTTCTAGGTCCAGCGCTGCCCTGAATACATCTTTAATTATAGTACTCATTGCCACTGTCTATGTTTACCTGTTTGTGAAAAAGTTGTGTGCAATTTCAATTGCAGTGAGGTTTCCTTAGTTTCTAGTTGTGCATGTCTCTTAAATATTTTAGCTTTCTACTTCCTGCTTCCTCTAATTATCCAAACAGTCATGTTCATTACGTCTTCTGGGGCTTCATTTAGAAACTTTCCTTGAGTTCCACCGTGTCTAGTGAAAGTGAGTACTCAAAAAGGAAATTCCAGGAAATTCCAGCTAGCTAAAGTCACACACTTTCACAAGCTTTAAATCCCAGCTCTTTTTCATTTAAATAAATGGTGCAAAACACCCATGTTTGACTTCTTCATGTTCTCAGATGTATCCTAATAGAGCTGTGATTTTTATCCATTTATAGAAACCATCAGTTTGATGCATAAAAGAGGATTTTTTTAGAATGTAAATAATCTAATATACTATTACAAGGTAGAAGGTAATACTCTTAAGCCAGACAGTTAACTTCAGATTGAAATACTCTGCTTTTTATTAGTTAAGTGATATGCAGTGTTTTGCATTAGTATTCACCCCCTTGAACTAATTTGAAATGGACCTAACTGTGATTTGTACAATTTAATTTACTCATTTTACACATTTTCA